GCAAAATAATAAAACTACTGTAATTGTTATGATTTTATATCAAATTATTCGTCATTGAGAATTAATATGACTTCTATTAGTAGATGTCTGTAATTCTAAATTATTATAATATTCATTACAATATTATAAATATAAAATCATTAACAATATTAGTAATATAAATATAATATTGTAAAATTATATTTATAAAAATAATATTCTAATGAATATTATAATAATTTACATAATAATTAGACACATAATTATATATTATCCTTTTTGTATTATTGAATTTGTTATGCACTATTATAAAATATTAGATGAAAAAAATTAGTTGTTTCGCTAAATAAATGTTTAATAGGATGAAGAGATAGGTTTAATCATATTTTCTCATTCACATATTGCCTCTCGTAATAGATCTAGCAAATCACATTACTTATAACATTTTAATACTGCCTGTGAAGCAATACATGCACTATTGACTCCTTTTAGCCTATCTTGTTAGGAGTCCAGATGCCATAAATCCCACATTCAAAAAATGGTACAAATCTTGATCTATGAACACTTACTTTTAGGGCGAAATAAATGTTTTAGATAATTTGTTATAATATATATTATTTTTAGAGCTTGAAATCTTTTTTTTTTTCATAATCATAATGTTCAAGCCAAGATGATCGATTTAAAAGTTTGATAATGCTTGAATTGCAATTTTTGATGAATTATGAGGTGAGGCTTGACTTATTTTGATTGGGTTGCAGCCCTATCAAACCATTTTCCATCAATAATAATCGGAGCTGGAAACTATTTTATATTTTATTTTGGATACACTATATTTTATAGGATAATTTTGATATACATTATAGTTTATATTTTTGACAAATAGAGATCATTGACTTTTGATACAATGAGGTCACAATTACTTTAGTCCGTCAGATTTCAAATCGAGTGATTGTAAAAGTGTTATTTACTAGATTCAAAGCTCAAAAAAGAATTTCTCGAAATTTGTAACACACCCCCAAACCATCTAATTTGACATATAATAAGTATAAATAATTGTGACACCTTTACGTGAAAGACAAATAGTCTCATAGTATCATCATCATCTTCATCATTTTAGTCTTTTCTCAATTAAGTAGTATCATAGTATCATCATCATCATCATCATCATTTAGCCTTTTCCCAATTAAATAGTCTCATAATATACATTGTATGTAATATACATTTTATACTATACGATTATTTACCATTATTATAAAGAAGTCATAATCACTCATAACCATTAGATTTCAAATTGGATTGCTAGGGGGCATTTAACAAAAGTAAAAATAGACAAAAAGAAATGAGTGAACATGTAAGGGTTATGTTTAGGGTAATCACACATGAATATTTCTTTATTGTGCTCAACATTTTTTGACCACTTGTTGCCCCTTGTTTTGTAATGCAAATGTGTTTGAATAAGGTCATTTTTTGTCATTAGGAACGGTGAGGTAAATATTTTTACAAGAAACTAGTGGTATTTTATTAGTGGTTAAAAAACAATAATTATTTAATAGAGGTGATATCATACCTCATGTGGATATGGATGATATTACCATTTACCATAATTAATAAATGCTTTTCTTTTTATCAATAATTTATACTTTGAGTTTGTTAGGGTACTCATACATGTAAGTATTTATTTAAAGTATTCAATACTTTGGACGTTTAATACCTTACCCAATAATGTAATAAATTTTTATCTAGGGGTATTTTAAGTAATTATTCAAAAATAAAAAAAAAAGTAGAAATTCATGATAGAAATAATAACATTTATTAATTATAGTTGAGAATGAAATCATCCATCCACATTGAGTGTGACATCACCTACATAGAACACTAAACGCCACTAAATTCTTATAGAAATATTTATCATATCCCTCCTAATAATAAAAAATACACTTACTAAAAAAAATTGTACTACAAAGCAAAGGTAATTAATATAAAAAAATGTTGAGTATATTTAATAAAAAATACACTTACTAAAAAAAATTGTACTACAAAGCAAAAGTAATTAATATAAAAAAATGAGTATATTTAGTAAACACTCACATACGTATCCTAACATATAATTACCTACAATACACCTAGACTAAAAAGTTATTACATGTTGGGATAAGTGTATCAAGTATCCAAAAATATTAACTTAAAAAAATACTCATATGCATGAGTATTCTAATATAATCCTATGATAAATTTTTTAATTATTAAAAATTAAAAGATATTAATATTAATTTTCAAAAATGACATTAATTTTTTTTTCATTCTACAAATTTCATGGTAATTTTAAAAGAAAAAAATTTGGATTTTGCATTCTAGAGTGACAAACGCTGGTAAATGGAAAAAAAAAAAGAAAAAAGAAAAAAGAAAAGAAAAGAAAGGAAGACCTAGACCCTTGACAGTTAGAATGAGAATCGAAGCTATTGAGCTTTTCAACAGAGTACTTTCAGCAATTTTGGCACTCCTCTCTCTCTTCCTTTCTCTCTCTTCTATTTTTGTTGGCACCCATCTCTCTCTCATGCATTGCAACTCACTTTGCCCTCTCCACTTTGTCACTCACTCTCTCTCTCTCATCATTTTTTCCTATCTCACTCCTCCCACGGTGTGTTAGGCTGTACACTTTCTCTCTCCTCCATTTCCGGACATTTTTTAATTGACTTTCTCTCTCACTCCCTCCAACTCCCACTTGCCTCAATCTCAAGTACGGGTCTGTTCGGTCCCACTATGACCAAGTTAACTTCATTCAAACCGGAATTACCCTTGGCCTTGTTGTTATCCGTTCTCTCTCTAGTTTTTTTTTTTTTTCTGTGCTTTCTCTCTCTAGATTTCGTGCTATCTCTAGTGTGCAATTTATAAATTTGTTGGCTTCTCAATCACTAGCATTATGCTTTAATTTCATCACTAGGGCTGACAACCGGGCCGGCCTTGGCCCTAGACAGCCTAGTTCCCATCAGGCTAGCACAGGACCCGCCCTGGCCTAAAAAAAAATCATGAAAAAGTAGAGAAGAAGACGGTCAGGGCGGCCCAGCCTTGCCCTCAAGGACAGGTGCACTGGCCCAACCCTCGGCCACATTTTGTGATTAGCCTAATTTTTTTAGGGTCGGGCTCGCGGCCACCGGGCCATGGCCACCCCTACTTATCACAACTATTGCCCTTTTTCTCTCTACCTGCTTCCTCTGTCTCTCTGCATAGTAAATGAAGAGAAGTTCTCAAACCTGCTTACCCTGGAGAGCCAATGGAGACTGTAAGAAGAGTGCACAAAGTGTAGACTGTTGCTAGGAAAGAGCCTCCCATAGAAAGAACCCGGAACACCTGCCACAAAACACGAGCCGAAAACACCTTCTTTCTCTCCAATGGACTCATGGAAAGAGGGCAGTGCCCTAAAAACCGAATTGAAATCATTTCCAAGCAAGTCATTGAGGTAAACTTGAAACTCTGGTAGTAAGAGAGAAGCTTCTCTGTATCTCCCACATATAGTTTTGATGATTGTAATTAAGACAGAGAAAGTGTTGGGTCCTGAGGCACACCCCAAATCAGCGATCACCAAACTTCGAGGGTAATTCGTCGAACAAAGCATGTTTATCGCAGCCTCCTCTGTTATGGGCTTCACTCTGTCTAACCCATTTTTCTGCACAAAAATAAAAACTCTTTTTGAAGGTTAACTAACAAAAAAAAAGAACAGATTTTAATTGTGGTAGCATTTGTCTCTATAAAAAAGAAGGAATGACAGATGGATGTGATGGAGAGGAGAACCTGAAGAGATGAATTTTGAGCATAGCTTGTGACTCCAACTCCTTCCTTCATGTGAAGGGTTTTCTCAACATCCATTGAGTTTGAGTTAAGAAGTAGATTTCAGAACCTCGTATTCCAAATCTTGAAATCAGCAGGTACGCCAGGGGATCATTTAGCTCTCTTTGTTCACGGTTCCTGTATTTATTCTCTCTGTGTTCTTGAAGATGACGACTGAGTTACACTTAATTTCATGCGTTGACCAAACTGATAGTAACAAGGGGGGGATACAGTTTCTATAAGGCTATTTTTTTATAAAGGGTACAGTTTCTGTAAGGCTTTAGGAAAACAAAGTAAAGCTTCGTCTATAATCCTAGTTTGGAAAGCACTTTGGGCGTCAAAAATCACCATAATAACTTTGAAATCAATTTCTGAAATTTAAAGCTAAAAAAATAGTGCAAATATTTTGGAGCCGTGAATCTTTATTTTTAGGGTGAAATTAATAGTTTAGATAATGTATTATAATATAATAATGTTTTTAGGCTTATCTCAAAATCTATTTTTATATCTAATTATAAAATTTTAAATTTTAAAAATAGTTAAAATCAAGTAGATCTATAAACATATGAAAATCT